GGAAAAGAAAAAAGTATTGTGGAAATAACTCAAAGTATAATGTGTAAGGTATGAAACAAGCTTTTCTAATATATTAATAAATGCATTTGGCCAGTTCCTCTGGTTTTAGATCAAAGTATTAACTTGTTAATTATTTACAAAAAATTTAAGACATTATAGACAAAAGCTTTAATGTCCCAGAAATGGAAATTTTTGAAATATCCTCATTTTTATAAAATGATAAATGGATATTTAAATAAAAGTGCCAAAGAAAACAAAAAAATTCATGCAAAGTCTTAATGCCTAAAGAGAAAATCTCTGGTCAACTATTTGATGAAAATCCTTCTAGACAATTCTAAGTGTATAGGCCATAGTGTACATATACATACATTGATGGAAAATGTTAAATAGGGGAGAGAAAAGCCCTAATATTTTACTGTTTATACTAGGTCATCATTTTTAGATGGAATATTGTGGTCCACTTATAAGTCTGATTTACCTTCTTTTTTTTTTTTTTTTTTTTTGGGAATGGAGTGTTCACTCTTGTTGCCCAGGCTGGAGTGCAGTGGCGCAGTCTCGGCTCCACTGCAACCTCTGCCTCCCAGGTTCAAAGCGTATTATAACTAATCAACTTACCTTCAACTGCACTAGCAGTGTCACATTCTTCAAATTCAATGAGGCCTGGAAAAAAAAAATTGAAAAACTTCTAGTAGAAAAAAACTATCAGGTAAACTTTAATACTTTTTTTTTACATTTAAAATTTTTTATTCTACTTTTAATTGACAACACATCTTTTTAATTGTTCTGAAATGGTTCTAGTTGTTACCTAATAGTTAATTCAAATATCAGTAATACATTTTAAAAATCAAATAATTCTAACAGTGAAAAACAACTGAGACTAGCCCATTATGATCACAATAATTTACTGAAAACCCATTATACATGATGCCACAGAATTAGAGACACAAGAATATGCGATTTCTGCTTTCAAGGAGCTGGCAGTACTATTAATGAGAGAAAACAAGCGAATGTGACTACAGCTTACAGGAAATAGGAATGAAGTTTTTCTTTTTTTTTTTTTTTTTTGTTTTTTTTGAGATGGAGTCCTCCAACTCTGTCCGCCCCGGCTAGAGTACAGTGCGCGCTCCTTCGGCTTCCACTCTGCAAGCTCCGCCTCCCAGGGCTTCACACCACTTCCTCCTGCCTCAGGAGGGCTGAGGCAGGAAGAATGGTGTGAAACCTGGGGAGGCGGAGCCTTGCAAGTGAGTCCGAGATCCCCGGCCGGCGGCCCGCGCCGCCCCGCCAACTGCCCCTACTCTACAACGCGGCAGGCGGCCGACAGAGAGTATGACTCCATCTACCAAAAAAAAAAAAAAAAAAAAAAGAAACTCTTCTATTTCCCTGTAAGCTGCGTAAGTTCACTATTCCTTGCACTGCCTATACACTTAGGAGAGATCTGGATTCATAATCCAAGGGGTCACCACTTATATTAGTCCTGATTAATTATTCATTTATTCAGTTCACTAATATTTATTATTTTACCAACCTTATTATTACCCGGGCATTTTGTCTACGTAATTTAAGATACCGAGTGCGACGCACACAGACAGATGAGGTCCTAAGCTTATGTTCTACTAGTATTTACCTATCTTGGTAGCCCTGTTCTTCCCATGAACACCACCGAAGGATTCCAGCCAACCACCCTTTACCAT